TTTTTTTTTTTTTTTTTTTTTTTTTTTTTTTTTTTGCCTAATGGAATATCGAATTACGCTGGCAATAGATCGTTGTAGTGCATTCACGTTCAGCTTTTTGGCAACAAGTTCACACGTTCTTGAGTTCTTCTCCGCGGTTTTTGTCCGTTTTTATGTCCGTTATACCTTGAGTATCATCGTACGGCGGTGACTGAAATCCCCAAGGTTCGTCCCATATCTGCATATCGGTAAAACTTGATCTTTTTCGTTGCCCGGCACGTGATCGAAAGTCTCGTCTACAAAGAAGAACAACACTAAATATTTTCGGTAAAGAAGTTGATTTGGGGAAATCCGTTTTACAAACAGCGTGTTTATCATCAGAAGTCAATAAACAGTATACAGCAGAGCTGTCGTTTGGGTCGTCGCGTAACACTTTATCGGGAAGGGCTCATTAACGTCAACAGAAATTTGCATAAAGCTGTTTACAAGAATGAGGGATAGGCAACGTTCGTTCTCAATTAGCTTAAATTTTTTATCAGACTATTCTGGAATCGAGTCCGCAAACGAGATTCATGTTCGACATAAAGAAATTATTATAAAATCGATGTGCTAAAATTTATTCCCGGAGAAACAGCTGCCGGACGACCTGTTAAGAATTGCGATCGATTTGTCTCTGTGCCTACCGTTCCTCCTTGCCCACACTGGTTCCTCTGTGCCTACTATTCCTCTGAATAATCACTAGTTGATCTGTTTCAATTGCTATGTATAAATGATTAACTATTTCAGCTCTCGGTATATGAGGGACAACCCCCAAATTTCGTCGAAGTTGGTTTTCACAATCCTCTTACAAGTAGATGTGAAACGCTAGATGAGTCACAGGACTTATCTTCCCGATTTTGAAGATATATGGAAAGTTAATAAAAGTTCGATAAATATCCGATCAATAGGCTTTTAAGGTTCTAGAGCATTCTAAGTTTCTACCTTTAAAAATGCAGTATAATGAATAGGCAATTTACTAATAAGCTTTGCATGTAGAAACATAAATATTAACAGTGTGCGTTTTGAGACTGGGATATCTTGTCTCCAAATTTGACATCCCTCGGAAGATAGTTATCTTTTAAATGGACATTAATTGACTTAGCTAGTTAGGGTTTTGTGGCGGGCTCATTTTTGTTGGCAGATACATCCTACACATTATTATTTATGTAGACATATGGTCAACGACCAAAAACAAATAAATAGCGAGCTGCTAAGGAACTGAAGGAAGAAGGGGTAAGCAGTTATAGATAGATAGGGAAAGAGAAGAACATCAGGAAGAATGTAGAACCGCCTTGCGAGTAAGTAAAATAAATCTTGTAAGTTTAACTGGCTGAGTTTTGGTGGAGTTCCTCTCCTTCTCGCCGATCCCATCAGTAAACGACACTAAAAAGCATCGTTTACCAGTGGAGAAGCCTTCTTTATCAGTAGCACACAAAAATAACCTTTATCAGAGGTGGACTAAGTTACGTTCAGCAGAGTGCTGAAAAAGCCAGTTTATCAGATGGACAAAACTTTTAGCTATCCTTTAGATTTCTAACGGATAACAGATTATCGTTAGTGTATTTTCTCCCAGACGGTCACACTATTGATTTTTATCACAAGCATAACCACCTGCTGCATCGTTGCGTCACTCCAGCAGTTTGTTGTTGTTTCGCTTTGTTCCGTTTCATTACCGTATGACGACATGAAATTTATTGCGGCGTCCTTTTTTTCTTTAAAGCCTTTAACGCAAAGCAGCAAAAAAAAAAAAGCCAAAGAAAAAAGAAGTCACTACAGCGTTATAGACTGAGAAAAACGCATTAAGCGACAACTTATGGAAAATATTATAAAATGTTCGTATCCAAAGATGACCAGTCAAAATGACCGGCCAGACGAGAGTTTGACCGGTCAAGTCCACGATCAGGCCGGACATTGTCCGTTGACCGGCCGTTATTTTGAGAGGTGGTTATAGTTTGTTACTGTTGCTATTTTTAAAAAGTAAAAGTACTGGAACAAAAGCTAGCTACGTCTGCTAGGTCAGCAAAACAGCATTTATGTACAATATTTTACAATATGAATGAAATTGCAAGGCCAGCTAGCGTCTGCGCAAACAGGAAGAAACGCAGACTAATTACTTGTTTCCTAGTTTTAAAGCAAAGCAAATATATTTCGAATTTGCAAGTCAACAAAACCTTTCATATCCCAAACTCAGCTGTTGCCACTATTTAACCAACAGACTAATGAACTACATATGGGTAAAATGCAATTAAAGCGAGGCACATCTGTAAAAAGGTGCTAATGTTAACGGATGTCGTGCAGAATAAAAACAAAGCTTACATTAAAAGGTAAACTAAAGCTAATAGCCATTATTCTGAAAACTAATGATTTTTTTCTTAAAGTCAACAATTGAATTTAAACGTGTCCAGTTGAAAAGAGTCAGTGGCAAATAGTTTTGACAGCTGTACACACAGGGGCACCCAACGACAATTTTCGGAAGAATATCTGTTCGGAAGACGATTTGAGATCTAGAATTTTCGAAACATTTGTTGTAAAATTTCTTGCTTGCCCGTCTCTCCTAGGATTTTCGACGTCTAAAAAATGGTATAATTGCCTATTTTTAACGGATTTTTACCCTAAAAAGGTCACCTAGAATTTTCGGGAGCCATTTTTCTGGCTGAAATTTTCGAAAAGATAAGTTTTGATCCCTATAATTTTCGGATCACTAGGCTTTCAGCTAGGAAATCCGAACAGATGAAAAATTTTTAGGGGATAAAAATATGCCTATATCTACCGTTTAAATACTAAAATACGTTTAACANGGTAAAATGCAATTAAAGCGAGGCACATCTGTAAAAAGGTGCTAATGTTAACGGATGTCGTGCAGAATAAAAACAAAGCTTACATTAAAAGGTAAACTAAAGCTAATAGCCATTATTCTGAAAACTAATGATTTTTTTCTTAAAGTCAACAATTGAATTTAAACGTGTCCAGTTGAAAAGAGTCAGTGGCAAATAGTTTTGACAGCTGTACACACAGGGGCACCCAACGACAATTTTCGGAAGAATATCTGTTCGGAAGACGATTTGAGATCTAGAATTTTCGAAACATTTGTTGTAAAATTTCTTGCTTGCCCGTCTCTCCTAGGATTTTCGACGTCTAAAAAATGGTATAATTGCCTATTTTTAACGGATTTTTACCCTAAAAAGGTCACCTAGAATTTTCGGGAGCCATTTTTCTGGCTGAAATTTTCGAAAAGATAAGTTTTGATCCCTATAATTTTCGGATCACTAGGCTTTCAGCTAGGAAATCCGAACAGATGAAAAATTTTTAGGGGATAAAAATATGCCTATATCTACCGTTTAAATACTAAAATACGTTTAACAATGCTATGTTTAAGTGATTTTGAACTATATTCTCGTTGGGTGCCCCTGTACACACTGTTGGCTTTTTCTAGAATTATTGCGCTAACGAACACTAAGTAATCAAACAAGTACAATCAAATGGCACGAGCCTTTTTCTGGAGCGAAAACCTCTTAATGCGAATTCAGTATGAATTACTGAAGACAACGTCAAAGCGAACATTTGAAAGCTATATACGAAATTCGAGGCAAATAAAGAATTCATGGAAAATCTCTCCTTACATTCCGCCCACCTTAAAAAATTTCGACGTCCTCGTCGAATAAAACTGGACCAAAAGGTACTTGGGAAACTGACCAAAAATAACTACAATTTCGTAACATGACAGGGTGAGTGGTTGCGGGCAATGCATTGAAATACTTTTCCTGTATACGCAAACCAGAATTAAGATTTCATTACAGATTTCTTTCAGTACAGCATCAAACAAAAAATGGTCATTTGAAAACTTACATCCGTGTGATCTTGTTTACGCTTTTTTGTCGCGATCTTTTCGGTTTTTTTCTCACTTTTGGCCAGTTGTTTGACATCTTTGGCGCTTCATTTCGGCACTTATTACACCAACGTGTAATTCGGCAGCAAAGCACCAGCTTTATATAGAGTTTGAAATAACTTGCACGGGATTGTATGAACGTGCAACTTCGCAGTGTATCACCAAGTTGAAGGGCAAGAACACCTGCGGTCGTCTTGTCTTCATATCAAATCGAAGTGACGCTGGCAAACCATTTCAAACGGCTCCAGCTCACCAGCTCTGCATACTTGAAGGATGGTATGTCTTTAACAGGGCACCGCTACAGCCTTTGGAAATATGCTTGTTTTTGGCCTTTGCACACAACATCGATCATCGTGTCACGAAGACTATCGCACGGCATACTTCCAAACAATTCACTCGCTGTGCAAGCACAGTTTGTCTTTGGCACAATATATATTGTGTGAAAAGAAAGAAGAAAACGAGAGGCGAAGTTTAAAGATTAAGTTTTCAGTTTTCGCTCTAAGTTTTGGGGTCGCTCGCGTTGAAAACCAATTCAAAGTTACCGGTGTTTTGAATGTTAAAAGGCAATGACGCTGACCAGCAAAATACTGTATCGCACCTTCAAAAACGTATTTCTGCAGTGCCCATCATTTGGCATATCAATTTTGTGCCATCTGTCTTTTCAGGATATTTTTTACAGCTCTTCGTATTTCTCTACTTCTCCAGCAATACACAAACGGATTAACAAAAGAGTTTATAAAAACGACAGTAGCAGCATAGATTGAAGCAGTTGCTAATGTTCTGGTCATTCCGATCAGCAATTCCATAATCGTCAATGCAATAAAGGGAAGGTAGACAATTAAAAACAAAGCGTAAATATAAAGTACTGTCACAGCAGATTTTCTGCATTTGAGTATGTTCACTGTGTTGATTTGAAGGCGGATGACAGCTAAAGTTTGACTGTTTATCTCGCGTTGGTGCCTTCGAACAATTTTAAATATATTTAAGGTACAGACGGTTATGACGAGAAAAGAAAGAGGGAAAACAGCCAATGGGATGAAATACCACTTGGTTGTCATCGAAAACCTTGTAACATTAATAAAAAAGCAAAAGCTCCAGAAAATAAAGGTGGTTTGGAATACGCGAGGAACTGTGACAGTCGTGTTGTATTGCAGATGGAGAGATAACGCAAGAAGACGGTCCAGGGAAATTGCAGTTAAGATCAAAAGAGAAACGCCAGCTGTCGTCCAGCCTGTTACAAATAGAAGCATTCTACAATAGCAGAAGACGTTGAAATTCTTTTTAAGTTTGGCTATGTTCAGTGCAACTAGCAAAGGTTGACATATCAAGCCAACAAGGAGATCTGCTGATCTGAGGCTGCCAAACTACCCACAAGAACGAAAGATGGCCAATGAAGATCTTGGGTTTTTCTAATGACGACTAAAATAAGAAAGTTTCCCAAACTTGACATCAGAGAAAATAAACAATTGACGACACAAGATAAAATCCTTGTGATGAAAACTGTCTCCGTTGAGTCAAAGTGCAAAAAGTTGTCTTCAAAGAAAAATCAGTTACTGTATGTTCTGTTCATGATAAAAAAGGTGTGTTTTCCAAACACAGGATGAAGTTGTCGGCAACGTCGTTCTAAGACATTACAGTTGGCACCAATCTTTCTGATCGCAAATTTCAGCTACGTTAAGTCTCCTGGCTTGTTTCTTGGTACAGGCAGTAAAAAATAAGCGTTTGGAAGTCAGCCAAGCGCGGTCATTGCACGCGTGCTGAACAAGAATGCTGTATCATGACAGACTAGAAACAATAGACAACTCCCAAAGCACAAACGCAGCCAAAACGCTAAACATCTTCAGTGTTTACTCAAGTTTGGGCTTATAGAAGATAATGTCACAGTTTTTCAATGACCATGAAATTCAGAGTCCGGGTAAATAGTTAATCAATTGTGGCCCTGAAAAAATTTGAAGGAAAAAAAACTACAAATTTTTAAGAAAATGCTTTTTTCGTGAGAAGGACTCTTAAACGCTGACAAACGTCAACAAATAGCGAAAACTATAATTTCTATATGTTTGCTTTGCTCGAAATCGCGCACATTTACAAGGACTTAAAGCGTTTTGCTGACTTGCAAGGACCTATCTGTTATAACGATGCCCAAAATAAAGAGATGAATCTCATAGTTTATTAGATATAATCCGTGTAAAGTTTGCTTATCATTTTCGCATAAATTATGACCTAAATTTGGAAACCGCTGAATTTCTCGAATTGGGTCTTTGCGATTTTGGTGAAACTCTGTTCAGCGCAAGGCACTAATGCGCACTATGTGTAGCCGAGAGATTTTCACGAAAAAATGCCGGCAACAGCAGATGTTCGACTCAGACCTCAAAAAGCGCGTGGCATTATAACCACGTGACATCTACTCCGATCGCCAAAAATTTTATGTTATATTGTAGATTGATCTATATGTTATCCATTCTATGTGTTAGACTTACGATAAAAGTAAAGGTGGGGATACCAGAGACCTTCAAAGTAAGATGTTACCCCTCCAAAAAAACTGGGTCGAGTCACCTTAAGTCTCCTGACTTGTTTCTTGGTACAGGCAGTAAAAACCAGCTGAAGATTTTAAATGAAGTAATCTAAAACGAGCATAAATAAAATTCAGACTCAATTGTTTCCAAACTTACTAACGAGAAGCGTTCAATTTTTGAAAGAATATGTAGAAGCAAATTGGTGACATCACATATTATAACCAGATGCTGTATGCAGCGCGTGAAAGTGCGGCTCAGTTTTAGAGGAAGCAATTTACAGCAAATACAAAAAAAAATTAAGTACTTCCGTAAATACTAACCAATCAACTGGTTGACAGACTATTAAAGCCTAATTGATGTAGATCATTTTTCTTCCCAGTAAGAAAATACAACGCTAAAAACGGTCAGTGTTAGTATAAAGAAAATTCAGATTCAAGTATCTCCAAACTTAGTAATAAGAATCACTTAATTTTTGACAAACTATTGTCAGAAATTCAAAAACTCATGAATAATTAATAAAGAAAATAAAAGAAATAGAGTTCAATAAGTACCTTTATATCTTATAAAGACCCGGCTAAACTTTACGTCCAATTTTTTAGACCAATATAACCTCACATGTAAATATTAGATCAAGAATGAGTTAATCTATATCAGAGACTTTGAAGCCGTTCAAAAACCTCGCAGCAATGTTTTAACAGGTGTGACAACACTCCGCTTCGCCTTTAAACCTGACAATATACTCCTGCTCGTTTTTTAAACAGTATATGAAATGGTGCTATCGAAAATATGAAAATTCAAATTATTTGAAGCAGCTGATAAACGCATGTTGCTGAAGAAGTCAATAAGCCAACGAATTAATTTTGTTATTTTTCAGTTTAGTTTAACGCGAGTACCATGTTAAGGTTATTACTTACGTATTCCGATCCCGAACGTTTGTTGTAAAAGGTGCGTTGTAGAGATTCCAGATTCCTTTATCTCCAGAGAACCAGTGGTACATAGAGGGATAAAAATGGTCGGGGTGTGGTCAAAATTGCCACGTGATAGGGTAGAATCCCAAATCCTGCATCGTAAACTCGCTGAATCGCACATCTCGTTCATAATTTGGAAATTTACCATAGCATATCAAGGCACAAATTTTTGGAATACCCTTCCCTCTGAACTCAAAGACGAATCTTCAAAACATGTCTTTAGAAAGAACTTCCATAGATTTTTTAAATCAACAAGCTAATCTGTCCTAACTATTTCCATACTGTTGATTAACAATTTCTTGTATAACCTAGTTTTTCTTTTGTGTGTGGGTGTTATTTTTCTCTTTTCCTCTATAATTTTTAGACTATTAACTAGAATTTTCTTTTTCTTCAACTATTAATTTGAATCAATAATTAGATACCCTAAATTAATTTGATATTGTTGATTGATAATTATACCTATTAACTTTATTACTAATACTTAGCTTACTCTTGTCATGTAGGTATACTTAAATTAACTCTGAAGCAACGACGACGGCGACGGCAACGAGAAAGGCAAAAAAGCAACAGGTTTGATTAGCAAAACAACAACTTTGCTGGCGCAGCACGATTTTTTGTACATTTCTACGCCGTCGTTGCACGACTATGACGTGAAACTGACAAATTTCACGTTTTGTGGAGGACGTGAACAAAGGACAACGACCCTTTTTCTCTTTTTCTGATTATTGATAGAGCCCTTTAGAATTCAACTCCTGAAAAATTCGCTAAGATTTGACGAAATGAACATCATGGAATAAGCGCGGTAAGTTTGAAGCAGCGCGAACGCAATTTTTAAGTGACGTTTTCGTGGAAGTCGCCGTCGTTGTTGCCTAAGCTCCCTATTTTTGCAACTGGTTTTAGATTATTTACTGCTTCATACACTAGTAACGAATATTTTTAAGTCTTCTATTGTACAGTGCGGTCTTGTTGGCTAAAATGAAAAAAATTAAGTAACGCAGGTGGCCTGGCCATAAATCTCTATTTATATCCGGAGTAATGCTGAGCTATTAATTTTCACTTATGTCCAGGACTGAGAATAAGTATTACTTTAAAAGTACTTTATATTTGCAAGGGATGTTTGTCATTTTCGTGTTACTACATATTTTGAACGCATTAGAGGTAAATTATGAGGACATTTTGTGATTAGCTGTGATGGCCATCATTTGGCAGATCAGTTTTGTGCCATCTGTCTTTTCAGGATATTTTTTACAGCTCTTCGTATTTCTCTGCTTCTCCAGCAATACACAAACGGATTAAGAAAAGAGTTTATAAAAACGACAGTAGCAGCATAGATTGAAGCAGTTGCTAATGCTCTGGTCATTCCAATCAACAATTCCATAATTGTCAATGTAATGAAGGGAAGGTAGACACTTAAAAACAAAGCGTAAATATAAAGTACTGTCACAGCAGATTTTCTGCATTTGAGAATGTTCACGGTGTTCGTTTGAAGGCGGATGACAGCCAAAGTTTGACAGTTTATCTGGCGTTGGTGTCTTCGAACAATTTTAAATATGATTAAGGTACAGACGGTTATGACGACAAAAGAAAGAATGAAAATAGCCAGTGGGATGAAATACCATTTGGTTGTCATCCAAAACCTTGTAACATTGATAAATACGCAAAAGCTCCAGAAAACAAAAGTGGTTTGGAATACGCGAGGAACTGTGACAGTCGTGTTGTATTGCAAATGGAGAATTAAAGCAAGAAGACGGTCCAGGGAAATTGCAGTTAAGATCAAAAGAGAAACGCCAGCTGTCGTCCAGCCTGTTACAAATAGAAGCATTCTACAATAGCAGAAGACGTTGAAATTCTTTTTCAGTTCGGTTATGTTCAGTGCAACTAGCAAAGGTTGACATATCAAGCCAACAAGGAGATCTGAGGCTGCCAAACTACCCACAAGAACGAAAGATGGCCAATGAAGATCTTGGGTTTTTCTAATGACGACTAAAATAAGAAGGTTTCCCAAACTTGACATCAGAGAAAATAAACAATTGACGACACAAGATAAAATCCTTGTGATGAAAACTGTCTCCGTTGAGTCAAAGTGCAAAAGGTTGTCTTCAAAGAAAAAGCAGTTACTGTATGTTCTGTTCATGATAAAAAAGGTGTGTTTTCCAAACACAGGATGAAGTTGTCGGCAACGTCGTTCTAAGACATTACAGTTGGCACCAATCTTTCTGATCGCAAATTTCAGCAACGTTAAGTCTCCTGACTTGTTTCTTGGTGCAGGCAGTAAAAACGAGCTGAAGATTTTAAATGAAGTAATCTAAAGCGAGCATAAATAAAATTCAGACTCAATTGTTTCCAAACTTACTAACGAGAAGCGTTCAATTTTTGAAAGAATATGTAGAAGCAAATTGGTCACATCACATAATATAAGCAGATGCTGTATGCAGCGCGTGAAAGTGCCGCTCAGTTTTAGAGGAAGCAATTTACAGCAAATACAAAAAAAAATTAAGAACTTCCTTAACAAATAATACTAACCAATCAACTGGTTGACAGACTATTAAAGCCTAATTGATGTAGATCATTTTACTTCCCAGTAAGAAAATACAACGCTAAAAAACGGTCAGTGTTAGTATAAAGAAAATTCAGATTCAAGTATCTCCAAACTTAGTAATAAGAATCACTTAATTTTTGACAAACTATTGTCAGAAATTCAAAAACTCATGAATAATTAATAAAGAAAATAAAAGAAATTAGAGTTTAATAAGTGCCTTTATATCTTAT